GGTGAAAAGCCGGTGACTGCATGCAGTCAGCACGCAAGGGGAACCACATACGTGCTTTCCAGTGAGATTGACTGACTCTTTTTGGGGATACGAAAATTCCCAACAAAATTATGAAGGGAGTAGTCTTTAAATTAACTCATCCACTGGTTAGTAGCCTAGTCTGCTTCGTTCACCACAAACGTAACCTTTAATAAATCTGTCACTGTGACTAACTGACATGAAGATTCATCACACGCCGGATTCATCAAATACCTGGAATGACAACTCAATGTCAAGTATTACGATGAATGATCTTCTTTGTAACTCTTATCTGCCCGGTCGTTATCGCCATTTTGATTTCTAGAACAAGAAAATATTTGCCGTTCTTAGAAGGATGAACTAGTGGGTTGCAACCAGACCAGTTTGTTCTTATCATGCGATATGTCCATTTGTCATGGCTTTTTTACCTCAATTAGTCCCCCTCATCTAGTGAGTTCGCATTATCAGTTGTAAAAATTGCAACTTGAGCACAGTCAAATTTGTGATATGCCGCTATCAGTTTCCGTGAAGTTGGTATAAATTTCAAAAGACAATTGGCATTTACACGTCCACATATCATGCCAGGTTCACAAGACTTCCCGCACTGTTTATATTTAATTGTTGTGAACGAATTTTACCTGACCACTCCGTAATGCATGAGATTCACACAGAGAGAGTTTTGAAAAGATTACTCTCCGGGCTCACTGTTCCGCAAATAGGGGGTATTTCGATTTTATGTGTTAAAGGGCACTGCCAATTACTTATTTTGAACTGATCGCAACTTACACGTAAATAATCAACGTCTTCGAGTTTCCAACCATAATCCTCAAGAGCTACACCGTCTGTTCAGTCCAGTTCAGTTGTTTTAAAAAAGATGGACAAACACCTTTGAATGCCGAAACAATTAGGAAAATAACCTTACGGAAAAAGAGGGAGTAGTATGTTTTTCAACGTGTGAGTTCCGTATGGTAAGGATAAAAAGTAGGCGTATGTTCATAGAAAATGGCTACCCGCGCAAATTCGTCAACCAGTGCTTGCGCAAACGAGATGGCCAACAAAGGCGCACCGACCCCAAAATTTAACGAGCGATCCCGTACGTCAAAAACATGTCGGAAGCCGTCGGCCGCATTCTCGCACCACTTGGAGA